GTGCCTAGCAGCGGGGGCGTTGCAGAACGTGATGCGGGTCGGTGTAGGGGGAGGGGCACGTCCACTGCCAGAGCACTGGACCATCGACAAACCACCAGACAACCAGATCGGAGGAACAGGAGACGTCCAGCTAGGACGCGCGCTGGAGCTAGCAAGAACCATAACGAGCTGATACGTGAGGTAATATGTGCACCAAACGTGCCATGAACGCCATGCGTGCACCCGAACGCCACACTTCCATCCGAACGTCACAAATTTGCGGGCCGCCAAACTTCAAGCTCCACTGTGGGAACACCTTCGGGCACCATATAGTAGATGGCGCCGCATGGAGCGCGTTGTTCAGCATATGACAGACCGCGTCTCCGTCTGATGTTACGCGCTTGCGAACCTTCTCATGGGTCATCACGGGTATGCGCGCGGATTCCATGCACGGTGGCGTGTGTTGCCTTGCTTGCTTGCGAGTTTAGGCGCTCGCTTGCTTGATGACTTTCCTGGCCGTTCCTCCCTTGCGTCCTTGATTGCTTGCCTCCCACGCACCCCATGGAGTCCAACGGAGTTCAATGGGTGTCATGGGCCCCGTGGGATTCCAATGGAACACGACGGGGCCCACTAACACACAATGTAATCGAATTGGGCCCTGTGTGGGAAGGGGGTCCCTTTGAGCCTAACGGGCTCCTATGGGTATTCCAGGGGTGCCCCATGGAGCCTAGCAGTGTATTCCAACTGTATCCCAAATATACCTCAATGGAGGTCTGAGGAATTCCAATGGGTCCCATTGGTGTCCAAACGATTCCAACCAATCCATGGACGCATTTCAATCGAACCTAAGGGACACAACTGGAGGCCAACAGGGTCCAATGCCTTCCGACATGGATACTGGATCCCAAGATTTCCGATCGGGCAAAACTGCTCCCCCCCCTCCCTATAGGATCGCCAAAACAACTCGCCGGGAGGAGACATTGGGTGGCGGCGAGGGGAGCATCTTCCTCCTCCTCCTCGCACGTGGCCGCAGGCGGACACGTCCTCGGTCACCCTCGCTCGCGGCCGCGGCGGGTGCGGGCTACCTGCATCTTCCTCCTCCTCCTCCTCCTCCTCCTCCTCTTCCTCCTCCTCACCACCATCATCGGTCCTTCTCAACCATCCCCATCCGTCTCGAGCTTCGCTCCTCGATGTTCGTCCTGGATCACCCTCCTGCTCCTCGCTCCTCGTTCCTCCTCGATCCTCGCTTTCCTATGCGTCCTTCCCCTGCACGTCGATCCTCGAACCTCCTCCTCCTCCTCCTCATCGATCATTCTCGCCCTTTTCAGTCCTCGATCATCGATCTTCCTCGATCCTCGCTCCTCCTCCATCCCGATCCTCATCAGCCCTGGATCCTTGATCCTCTTCCTCCTCGATTCTCCAATATAGATCCATCGCCTCGTCGTTCCACCTCCTCCCCTTCGATCCTCCCCGATCCTCGGTCCTGGATCCTTCTCGATACCCGCTGGTCGATCCTCGACCGTCCCCCTTCTAGATCCGCCTTCTTCTCTTCGATCATCCTCGACCCTGGGCCCTCTATCCTAGATCTGACTCGATCCGTCATGCCCCGATACTCGAGCCTGGAGCCTCGATCCTCCCCGAGGATCGAGGAGGATCGAGGATCAAGGAGGTGGAGGAGGATCGATGAGAAGGAGGAGGAGAATCGAGGACCGATGAGGATCGATGAAGAGGAAGAGGAGGATCGAGGATCCAGGATCGAGGAGAAGGAGGGAGAGGAGAAGGATCGAGGATGAGTAGTAGGATGGAGGATGAAGGATGCAAGATCGAGAAGTGAGGAGGATCGAGGTTCGATGAGGGGGAGGATTGAGGAGGATCGAGGTGCAGTATACCCCCTCGTCGCCACTGAATGATTCCTCTCGGCGAGATTGCGGTTCGCGTTGCTGTTGGGGCTTTCACAAGAGCGGGCCCGCGAGTTAAGTAATCGTGCTAAGCCCGCTTCGTCTCCAACGTTTTTATTGATGCACATCAGGTGGTACCAAGTAATCTTCGGAATTAGTTTACGATCCTGAGCGCCAAACTTTCAGCTGAACGCCGAACATTCGCAGGACGACAGACGTTTACCAGAACGGAAAGCTGCAGGAGGCTTAAGTGACTTAGGCAAGTTTTGTAAACCACATTGTGACTTACGGCAGATCCGTGGGCATATTAAGAAGGACTTGCCAGGGGTGAGTGACTTATCCGCCGGCCCTCTTGTGGGGCCACCAGGCTGTAGGCCGAAGGTTCGCAGTTTCCTGTGCCAGTTGCAGCTTCAAGCTTCCACTGTTACAGTTCTGCTTCTTGCTGCTTACTGTTCCTTGTTGACTTCTTGCTGCTTACTGTTCCTTGTTGATGGACCGCGCGAGGGGGGGAGGCCCAAAACGAGCTTTTTTACCACGGCCAACACGTATTGTCTGAGTTGCTGGGGTGGGTAAAAATTGACACCCCTCACGCAGATCGGCGGGGTCAGGGTGCGAAAACATATGGGATTTGCAACATTTCTGACATTCGGTGGCACCCCTCACGCAGATCGGCGGGTTCAGGGTCCAAAAACATAGAGGAGTTGCTACAGTTCTGAAATTTGCTGGCACCCCTCACGCAGATCGGCGGGGTCAGGGTGCAACAAAAACAAAAGACTTGCCAGATTTCTGACATTCGGTGGCACCCCTCACGCAGATCGGCGGGGTTAGGGTCCAAAAACATAGAGGAGTTGCTACAGTTCTGAAATTTGCTGGCACCCCTCACGCAGATCGGCGGGGTCAGGGTGCAACAAAAACAAAAGATTTGCCAGATTTCTGACATTCGGTGGCACCCCTCACGCAGATCGGCGAGGTTAGGGTCCAAAAACACAAAGGACTTGCCACATTTCTGACATCCGGTGGCACCCCTCACGCAGATCGACGGGGTCAAGGTCCAAAAACACAAAGGATTTGCCACATTCCTAAAATTTGCTGGCACCCCTCACGCAGATCGGCGGGGTCAGGGTGCAAAAACGCATGAGATTTGCTACATTTCTGAAACTCTGTGGCACCCCTCACACTGATCGGCGGGGTCAGGGTCCAAAAACACAAAGGATTTGCCACATTCCTGCAATTTGCTGGCACCCCTCACGCAGATCGGCGGGGTCAGGGTGCAAAAACGCATGAGATTTGCTACATGTCCGACATCCGGTGGCACCCCTCACGCAGATCGACGGGGTCAAGGTCCAAAAACACAAAGGATTCGCCACATTCCTGAAATTTGCTGGCACCCCTCACGCAGATCGGCGGGGTCAGGGTGCAAAAACGCATGAGATTTGCTACATTTCTGAAATTCTGTGGCACCCCTCACACTGATCGGCGGGGTCAGGGTCCAAAAACACAAAGGATTTGCCACATTTCTGAAATTCGCTGGCACTTCTCATGCAGATCGGCGGGGTCAGGGTGCAAAAACACATGAGATTTGCTACATTTCTGAAATTCGGTGGCACTCCTCACGCAGATCGGCGGGGTCAGGGTCCAAAAACATCCAAAAACACATGAGATTTGCTACATTTCTGAAATCCGATGGCACCCCTCACGCAGATCGGCTGGGTATTTGTAACATGTCTGAAATCCGGTGGCACCCCTCACGCGGATCGACAGGGCCAGGGTCCAAAGACCAAGAGGATTTGCTATATTTTTTCATATTCGGTGGCATCCCTCACACTGATCGGCGGGGTCAGGGTCCAAAAACACAGGGGATTTGCAACATTTCTGAAATTCGGTGGCACCCCTCACGCAGATCGGCGGGGTCTGGCTCACAAGAGACTTCCAACATTTTCAAATTCGGGGAGAAGATTTGGGCACAGCATACGGGAGCAAATGGAAAATACAATATCGAGTACCACAATAGACTCGCCATCTCCATTGACGGCGGCATAAGCCCTTACGGAGAAGTCCCGCTGAGCTCCCGCACGGCCGAGAGGGCCCTTTGCCCAGGGCCCGGGGCCCCGGGCTGGAGGGGGCCCAGGGCCAGTGCCCGGGGTCCGTGGCCCGGGCCCCTGGGCCCGGGCACGACTATTCCTCCAGTGCATTTTGGGAGGGAGGGGGGGAGGGGGCGGGGGCGGGGGGGGGGGGGGCAGAACGTAACTAGGGGAACAAAAAGTGGCATAGACATAAAAACTCGGAGGTCCTCGCGGATTTCTCGGCTCGGCGCTGGGGCCCTGGCGGCGCCTCCGGCGCCGCCCCTGGCGCGCTCCGCTCGCCAGGGAGGGGGCTTCAGCGCCGATCCGAGAAATCCGCCTGAACCTCCGAGTTTTGATGTTTATGCCACTTTTTGTTCCCCTAGTAACGCCACCCCCCCTGCCGTGTGGGTTCAGCACCATAGACTGTGGTGCCCGAGGAGCGGTGCGTCATAGGGGGTGAAGGGTTCGGGGGGGGGGGCATAGCCCGCGTTACAGTAGACGAGGTCGGAGGATCGCGCCGCATCGCCGACTCATCGGTGCCGCCGGCGTGAGGAAAGTCGGGCTCCGTATCGAGCAGCATCGCCGATGCATCGGCGATAGCGGCGCGATGCTCCGGCCTCATCTGCGCGTTCCCGTCTGCTCGATCTGATGCCTCGGTCCAACTGTATGGGTACAAACCCTCTCATCGTGGGTTGGCGGCGCGCACAAGGGGGTAGGGGGAGGGGGGAAGGCTTCTTAGAAGGAGGCAGCTTCTTAGAAGGCGCCGGCCCTACGTCTATAGACGAGGCCCGCGCCCTCTACGAAGCAGGGGTGCTTCTAAGAAGCCTTCCCAGACATGCGACGTCCTGACTTTTTTCAGGACGGCGTCCCTGGAAGTCCAGACCCTTTCCCTGGGGCTGGTTTTTCATCCCGAGTCGTTTTTCGACGGTCCCGGGGCCCCGCGAGGGCCCCCAGGGGCCGAAAAATAAGGAAAAACTCGCCGTCCTGATTTTTTCACGACGCGATCATGTCTGGGCTTTTCCCTCCCCCTGCCCCCCTCTGCGCGTGGCCGAGTGCGCTCCTCGCCGGCGCCCGCGGGCCGCGAGGCCCGCCGCACGCCCACGCGGCCCCGCCGGCGCGGGCGCGCCGGCGAGGCCGCGCCGGCGAAGCCGCGCCGGAGGCGCGCGCCGCCGCGCGCCTTCGGGGCCGCGGCCGCGGCGCTGGCCGCGGCGGCGGCGGCGGCGCGCGCCTTCCGCGCGGCGGCGGACGAGGGCGACAACGACGATGGCGACGACGGCGACGGCGACGACGGCGACGACGACGGCGGCGACGGCGACGACGACGACGACGGCGCTGGCCGCCGCGGCGGCGGCGCCGAGAGGGAGGCACACGGTGACGGGGATTCGGAATCCGTGGATCTGTGATGCGGCCCGGGGAGACAAATAAATCGACACACATTCCAGGACCCCGTATGTTTTTACGTGTTTTCTGGGTGTTCGTCTTCCCCCCCGTTTCCCATATTTTCCAATACGTTCACAGAGATCAGCGTTTACTCGTGCTGGTGTTTGTTTTTCCCCTCCTGAATCTGGCGCGTCGGCGCCACATCCATGGACAAGGGAACGCAACGCCCGACACATGGCGCCAGTGCTGCCTGCTTTGGCGACGGACCGCGCCGATGTGGTGTGGAAACGGGAGCTGTCGCTAATCCATGTGTGCGCCTCCTCGAAGCAGCTCCTGGCGGCTTTCTCCTCGATTGCAGCTCTCCCCTGGCTCCAGATTCGCCGTGCTTTGGTCGAGCTCCCGCCCTCAGACTGTGTCGGAAGTGTACCCCACAAGATGCGAAAACGCAGGGCGGAAAAACCGCCTCCAGAAAACCAGGAAATAGATCGGATATTCTTCAAGGTACCGCGGTTCCGGAAGCAAGGGTGGCGGCCAGGCGGCGGCCGCGGCGGCGGCCACGACGCGCACAGAGCTCCGGCGATGTGACTGCTTCAATCCCGGCTGCTTTTTTCCTCGGTTGCGGTCCCTGGGGGTCACTATCGGGCCCGGTGGCCATGAAGAAAGAATCCGAGACGGAAAACTACCCCTACGGAAGCGGTCGGTACCTCTGGGGCGGTTGAAACAAAGCACATCGGCGGGTGTCTGGGCTGACCGTTTCTGAGGGACTCATCGTTTTCTGCTGCCCCTCGAGTCGCCCTGGGGCGTCCACGATGTGCTCCAGATTTCCCTGGAGATCTCTGGATTTGCCTCGTATCTGGATGTACCTCGATTGTTCTGGCTTGCTCCCCGCAAATCAATGGAGCGACGAAAAGAAAGGGGTCTTACGCGAGATGACATAGCGACTCTACGCCGCAGCCAGCGCGGCATACTACACTGGAAACGAGGGCGCTTACGCGCGACCTCACGCGAGCAGCTTACGCTTACGCGCCAATGTCCATGCAAACGACCCCGTTCTTCTGTGCCGCTCAGTTGGCGAAAAGCCGTCAAACCCTTGGCGATCCCAGGCCTGGGCGTCGCAACCAAGTTGCGGCGGCCAACGTTCTGCTCTCAACCTCGGCCATCCGGGGGTGGCTTCCCAATCCCGGCCCCGGGGCTGGTCAATTGGATGGTCCCGGGGAAGGGGTCGAGGCCCACGTGGCGCAAAAAATACGCCGTCGGAGGGGCAACGGCGGCGGCGGCGGCGGCGGCGCCAGCTGGACGACCCGCACCCAGACCGCCCGTGCTGGCGGCGCGCAAGAGAAGGGGGGAGGGTCGGCGATGCGAGGGGGGCCTTCTGACACCTGGCGCGGCTCGAAGAGGTCGCGGCGGCCGGTCCTTCGCAGCGTCGGGCACTTGGGGGCTGCCGTCAGGATCTGGGGGGCATGAAGAAACGGCCCAGGGGGGGGCCCATGCCTCGAGAAGTCAGGCCGCCATCTGTCTGGGAATCCAGGCAAGGTCGGGCAGAGAGACACCGGACATCTTTGAGAGCCGGCGGGTCCGGTCTGGAGGATGCCTTCTGGGTGCCGCGGGCGTTCCAGAGTGCGCCGAAACGCTCTACGTGGAAGTTCCGGCAGGCTCGCTCGGGACCAATGCCTCTCTTCATCTGGGGCCTGCCCGAAGCATGCCTTCACCCCGAGCCTCCGAGATCTCGCTTTTTTTGGCCAGGCGGACCCCCTCCCCCCGAGCTCTCGACCCCTCTGCGACGGCTTTCTCGTCCTGGGTGGCTCTCTGACAGCCCCAGGGGGGCACCGTAGACGCGCCCAGTCCGCAAGACAGCACGACGTCGGAGGCCCCAAGCCCAGGATTCCCGTCCGAGCCCGTTGCTCAATCCCATGTCCATTCCGCGGCCGGACCCATACGTTCGACTAGATTGCTGTCCCATATAATTAGCCCCAGAGACCCAGACCCTTGTTACCCAGGGGGCAACTCTTCGTTTTCCATCCCGGCTCCATTCTTGCTCGTCCTGGGGAACCGAGAGAGCGGCCCCCGGAGGCCGAAGCGAAGGGGCACCGTGCGGAATGCACAAAACGATCCTCCGGGTGCCTGAGCCTGGAGCCACCTGGGGCTCGCCTCGAGATCCTCTGGGGCTCGCGGATGGCCCCCGAGGGCCGCAGAGTGTTTGAAGGAGGGAAGGGTCAGAGAGCCCGTAGGATGAGGACGATAGATAGAAGATTCCCCCCTCTGAGGTGAAGGGAGTGTCAAGGGACTGTCAAGAGGAAGGAGACGCGAGAGGCTCAAGCTCCGACGTCATGTTTTTTCACTACGTCGACACCCAGAGGTCTGGACCCCTTCCTCAGAACCGGAGGTCTCATCCAGGGCAGTTTTTTGGGGGCGGTGCCTCCCGTCGTGATTCTGTCACGACGAGAGGAGGCGGGGCACGGAAAACACACACACACACAGAGACACACCTTTGGCGTCGCGGCCACGCGCGCGGCGGAGGGGCGTAGGGCAACTCAAGCGTTAGTTTGGGCATGTCCCCCTACAGGCGGACTTTAGACGAACAGTTAAACATAGTGAAAAGTATCCCCAGATGATGAACAAAAACTAGAAGAATCGTCCTCATACTATTTTTGGACTATTTTTGAATATTCCTCCTGTAGAGGGACATGCTCGATTTAACTTAAGCGGGAGAGCGCGGGCCAGGCCAGCTCACGCAGATACGCATTTTTGTCGGGGGCGTCGCGGCCACGCGAGCGTCGCCGCGGCGTAGGTCAAGTCAAATGGTAGCGCGCGGGCTGGACGCAGATACACACAGACACACTTTTTGCTCCGAGGCTGAGTGGTCCAACTCAGCAAGGCGGATGGCGGGGCCCGTTAAGGGTAATTACCACCGAACCTTGTCGGTGGAGGCAGCCGACGAACGGTGCGGGTGCAGAAAAAGGAAACGCACGACAAGCAAGCGCACAGACACACTTTTGAGCGTCGCGGGCTGGGCTCAGCCTCGAGCCGTTCGACAGTAACCGCCGGCGCGCGCGCCGGCTAGGCAAGAACGACGCCACTCACGCGAAGCAGCGCAGGTCAAAAGCCAGCCAGAAAGCACGCACACACGCACACGCACGGAGAGCCGCCGAGGGCCGTCGAAGGCCGCCGGGCGCGCCTCCGCCAGCGCCAGGGGGAGGAGGAGGAGGAGGAGGAGGAGGAGGAGGAGGAGGAGGAGGAGGAGGAGGAGGACCGCCGAGGACCGCCGAGGGCCGCCGAAGGGCCCCGGGCCGCCGGGCGCACCTCCGCCAGCGCCGCCGGCCGCTGGCGCGCGCGCGCGCCCGCGGCGCCGGCGGCGCGATCGGCGGGGCCGGCGGGGCGCACCACGGGCTGCCGCCAGCTGGGCGCCGGCGGAGCCAGCGCGACGGCGGCGGCGCGCATGCCGCGGGCGGTGGGCGCGGCCGCGGGCGGCAGGGCCGGGCGGCCTGCCCTGCGCGGCCTGTGTTGCGGCGTGGTGGCGGCGGCGGCGGCGATGGGGTCGGGGGCTCGTGGATGGCGTGTGGCCACGGAGGCCCCAGAGCGACACGTTGTGCCTCACGAGCGGGTGCAGCAGAGGCCCGAGCACAAGGAACCTGCCACGGGGATCCCAGCCCCGAGACCCCAGGACGTCGATTGACTTTTGGTGTGGGAGCGTCACGCTGTCCATAGCCAAACCATGGAAACCCACAAGAAGCCCAGGGCACCCTGGAGGCGAGCAGGGTGTTTCTTGGCATGGGTCTCCTCTGTAGCGTGTCGCTCCTCTCCGCGGGCAGGGAGGCTGGGGAAGGCTCGGGACACTGCGCGGACAGCGTGCCGCGCCGATAAGTGTGGTGGGCCAGGACTGGCGGAGCGACACGCTATCCAAAAATTCCTGACCGTAGAGGCTTCCCGCATGGGGTGGGGTCAGAGGGTCGCGCAGCATCGCCGATGCATCACTGACGCATCGGCGATGCATCCGCGACGCCGGCGATGCATGGGCAACGTCAGATTGGACACAAAAGGGATACACATCGAGCCGCATCGCACATGCATCGGCGGTGCGGCGCGATCCTCCGACCCCATCTGCTCTGATCACATCTAGGAGTCCTCAAGACGAGGAGGCCAGCGACAGCGGCCCGGACATTCAACGTTTTCCCAAAAAAACAACTCGATGATGGTTTCCCCTCGTTTTTTCCACGAACCTTGCGGCAAATTCGCGTCCCAGACCTCCAACGCATTCACTCAGTACAGAAAAATTTCACGGTTTTGGGCCTGTGGTGGCCCCTACCTGGCCCTGGGGCCGTCAAAGAACGGCTCAGGATGAAAAGCTGGCCCTGGGGAAAGGGTCGGGACTTCTGGGAGCCTTGCACAAATCAAGACACCGGATTCTTGGGGACGAGGGCGAGGGCGAGAAGGACGGCGGCGACAACAGCGGCGCGGGAGGGACGGGAAGAGGGGAGAGGAGGGAGGGAAGGTATGAGCCACGTGGGTCAAGGGAGGTCTCGAGGGAAGCACTGGGGGAAGAGGGCGTCAGGGCTTGTCCGGAGGTGGGCGCTGGCAGCTGCCGTGGACGGCGCTCGTCGGAGAGTGAGGGGGGCGGCACTGCCGCTGGCGACTGCTCACCAGGACTCGGCGGGAGGGTCCCCTGTCCTGCTCCCCCTCCTCCACCCCGATCCTCCGCCTCCCCCTGCGCTCCTGGCTTCGACCTGGAGCCCTGGAGTGCAGAAGGACGTCGGTGTAGCGC